TTATGGACAGGCGTGTCGCTTACCACCAGGCCTACGACTAGTTCGTCTCGTCACTTGGTATCATAAAAAAAATTTTTTTTTCGACAACTTCCACCCACCATTAATAATTTCCGCGATGTAGGTCTTTCATAATAATAATAATAATGTGTTGTTAACTAATGTACGCACAAGTTACGGATTTTTTATTTCCTGTGCTGCACCAAATAAACTAAATACCTTTGTAAATTAAACATTACTAGTTTAGTACTTAGGAAAGGGAAATCATATAGGTAAATAATAATTCAAATTGTTGAATACTCATTCATTGACACCTAGTATTACACAAGTGGAAGGCCTTAGAACAAAAAAGTAGCCCCTAAATACAGTACATAACACAGACATATCTAGATATATGTATGTGGTAAATATAGTATAAACAAATGTTAGCTAGCGCAGGTTTTCGTTCCTTTGCTTATTTTAATTTAGCTATAGTCAATATAATATATCCGCGCTTTTGGCACGTAGTACCATTTTGCACCGAATTAGAGGTGGGGGAATTTTATCGATGAATATACTAAAGTATGAATCATGATTAGATGTCCAAAGTGTAAACAAAGGGAATAGTCGAATGAAAAAATCATTTTCCAAAGCTTCGCTTTTTGACGATATCAAACGTTTAGAACTCTTTTTCTAGCTGTAATCTGACAAAACTTTGAACAATTCACATTTTGTTATATATATTTTTACTCAAATTCGTTGTATACAATGATTACAATAAAAGATTTATGTTTAAGGTCGTAAATAATTGTGTGACCCTGGTAACACAATCGGAATCAAAAACATTTTTTTCCCGCCATTTTGTCGTGTCATAGATTTCGTGCTTCGTTACTCGAACTCGAATGTTTCCTTGTCTCCGTAGTGCGTTTGTTAAATTAATGTATGTTGTTGTTAAAGCTTTTGTTTATTGTAAATATTTTGTAGTAGATGTTTTTTTTCCAATTCCTTTAAAAATAGAAGCTTTAGTATACCTCTAATCTACCTCTTGCTTTTGTTATCATTCGACGCATTATTATGTTTTGCGTGACGACAAAACTCAGCCCGATAGTCAGTTATCTTTACAGTGCTTTAACCGATGTTGTAATTCGAGTCGAGCGTATAAGAAAATGATCTTTTTCTTCGAAGGAGGATTGAGTTTCATAGCCAGCTGAAGTCTGCTTCATTAACTGTATTCGTATCATCTGCAGTTTTGATAATATTTTATGATTATTACTAAGTTGCTTTAACGGTAAAGGAAAACGTTGTGAGGAAACCCATATGTCGAAGAAGATCAATCCTTTGAAGAAGAACGTAGTCCCTAAAGTCACATTAGACCCGTGTAGTTAGTTCACTTAGGTTAAAACCATTACGTTGGATGCTTTGAAGTGAAATGTGTGTGCGTACAAGTTGGTATAGAAAAAGAAAGGCGATATTTTATCTGAATTATTCTTTTAAAATATGAAAGAAACTCTATTTTTGAATTGATCGACATGCGTTAGTTTTTCGTCGGTGCGAAATGCTTCTTCATTCTACGTCGTTTGTCGTCACTGATAAAAATATATTGCTAATGTAAAATGCCGAGAAGTATTTAGGTATTTTTTTTGAAGTTCCGTCTACCTTGTGTACTATTAAAACGTTAAAAGTTGTAGTATCGTGCTGAAGAGTTATAAATGATTTGATGTCGTTACATTTATCGATAACCTTAAGACATGTTTGCAAAATTTAATAAAAATGTCAATATTTAAGTAACTTAATATTTCGATCGATTTATTTGGGAAGGTAGGATTAACGTTGTGTATCTATGAGTAAACACGACTTGCTTGTGTAAGCAAATTTTTATACTTTGATTTTCTTTTCTTTCCTTACGAGATTTACATTTTTTAACCACAAGCGCCATAACTTACACCTATAGCGAAATCACCCCATTTATCGTGCTCTAGTCGTACTTGCAGACGTGTAAACCGATATCACGAGAACCATCCATCCATTATTATGCGGCGAATTCGTTTTTTTTAGACGTAGGTGGCGCTTCTCGCCATTGGCACCGTTTTGTCTGTCGCGTGTTAAATTTTATGACAAACATAAATCTTAATCGAATGTGTTCTGGCTTCTTTCGGGTTAGCTACCACCGCGTACTCATTTTTTTTCTACACGGGCCGTTGTTTCCGCCCGTGATATAGATTTCTCATGGAATTTTATTGTAAAAATAAATATGTAACGCCCACATGCAAGCTATTCTGTAAAGATTATCTTTCGTAGATCAGCGCTCTCGTTTCGAAGAGCCATTGTGTGTACCTTATATTTTTATATAATATTTTAGGGTGCATGATCCTAAAATACGTGTGATGTAAAAAGAATAAGTATAACACGTTGCATTGCTCGTCGTTAAGCACAAATTTAAATTAATATTATTGAAATTGAAATTTTCAATATACAATATAAGCTTTCTTAATATTATGATTGCATTAACAGATTATTTTGCATAGCTTAGCTAGCTGGGAATGAAACCATGGGAATGAAAAACTAAAAATGTGAAAAAATGAGCACTATATTATTGTACTAATCGATAGGATTTATGATAAGGGTGAAATATCTCCAATTAACATTGAGTCTTATAATAAAGACCTCTGAAAGAAAGAATGTTTCATTTAAGTAAAATTTGCTTTCTTAAGCATTCAAGGTAGTTTGCCTCACATGTCCCATTGATTTTTTCCACCCTGTATAATAAATAATATACAATATCATAAATTCATTAAACACGTTCATGAAATTATTTGATGCTGTAGAAACAATTTTCCTAAATCCGCTTTGTTACTTTTCTAGACATTTGATATAATGGCGACAAAGCAAATTATTAACATTTGTTTATAATATGTAACTATTCATTTTATAATTATTATTATGATTTAATTATTAATTAATCATAACGCCTTAAATTACTTAGTGTTTGTTATTAGCTATCGGAATACAAAGTGCTCCGTTTTTAGAATTTTTTTTATAAATAAATTTTGCTTTATAGAAGGGCTCAAAATTATCAAGATGTTTAAAAAATAATTTTTGATACACGTTTTGATACACGTGACACGATATTTCTATAGGTTTTTTATATATGAAGATAATTATTAAGTATTATATAAGTATGTCATAATAATAATAATAATAATAACGCACACACTCAACATAGCCCCGCAGTAGGGAAACTCTGTGTCGCGGGTGCCATGGACACACACATAGACAACCACAAATTACACCCAAACTCACGAAACTCATAATTATATATATAACAGTATGCAAGTACACTTTTTTATAATATCACGAGAGACGAACAAGTTGTGTGCCTGGTAGTAAGCTACACGCCTGTCCGCAACAGTTGCAGTGCCACTCAGAGCTTTAAATCGCAACAACCCTGGGACATACGTTGACAAGTCCCATGTGCTTGTAATTTCACCAGCACCCTTACCCTTCAATTCCATGGTCATATTATTGCTTGGCGGCACAAATAGGTAAGGTGGCAGTACTTGCCTGAACGAACTTTTTCACAAGGAGCCCTACTACTAAATATAGTAGTAGGTTTTTACAGTAGTAGGTACTAAATATAGTAGTAGGTTTTTATAGTAGTAGGTACTAAATATAGTAGTAGGTACTAAATATAGTAGTAGGTTTTTATAGTAGTAGGTACTAAATATATTAGTAGGTAGGGTTGACAAATATGTCAAGATATTTACCGTGAATTATCACATCGAACCCTGCTTTAAAGGTTACCGGGACATTTGGGAAATTTAAATGTAATGACGTTTTGTTAGATTTGCATGCAAATTACTTTAAAGCACTTTCGTTATGTACTCTTAAGTAACATTGGTATTTTCCTGATCGTTTACATACTTTTTTATTAAATGTTAATGCAATAAACAAGATGTTAATTATTAATGGTTAAAATAAATAACAAGGGGTTAAAGAGACTACTTTGCGGAACACCAAACTTATAGAAGCGAAACGAGCGAAGCTTTTCCTGACAGCCATACAAACAATCAATGAACGGAATTATCTGGCCATTCCTTAATGGACGTGCATGAAATTAGAAACTAGCATACACAAAAATACAATTAAGTCTACAGGTCCTATTGAAGCCCAAATTTTAAATTTGACCCGTGACTCGAGATAATTGAGTTCACAGGCGAATGTTAAATCTATGGGAAAAAAACAAATTCTAAAATAAGAACGGCTGTTGCGCTTCGGTAAGGAATCTATATTTCGCCTAGTTATTGTGGTAATTAGAGTTATAAATTGCTTGATTGTGACGATCATATATTGTGTTCACTTCAACACACTGTATTTGATGCTTTAATTAAGATTCAACGATACCTGATAGGGTAAGCTTCGAACACGATATTGGTTCAGCTTATGTAGTAAAATGTAATGAGCCACGAATTAGAATGCTCTAGGCATAAAAATGGAACTTGACGCGTGCAGCCTCCATGTATGACCAGCGGACTGACTGGCCAATAAGACAGACTGACTAGTCTAATAGAGATTCGAACTGAGACCGACATTCTTTTCTACAAAAAACGACGAGGGCAGTCCTGACTAAATCTCTGACCAGAGAAGACGACTTAATTTCTATTGTACAGATAGACCGTAAAAAGCTATCACTAGTGTTTTTGGATTCAGAATTAATTTGATGTTGGAGGGGAGGCACTTTAAGAAGAAGAAGATACAAAAATGGTGCGTTTCGTAATTGAAAACGTACTTTATTCAAAACCATTATTAGTTTTATAGAACGTTTGTACTGTTCGTATTTGAAATGTGCGGACCGTAGTAAATTGTAGAGGTCCAAGTTACCTTTCCCGTAAATAGGTATAGCATCAGTACATATACATATAGTAATACTGGTAGGCAAGGGTGCGCTCTTAAAAGAGGATTTTAGATACTCCTGTAATATAATTGTTATATTTGGTTCATAGTACTTACGTAATGTGTTTTTACAGTATGTATGGAGCATCAGGCGCTGCGCCGAGAGAGGCGCGGGGGCCAGTGCGCGAGCGACCCGACGTGCTTCCTGCGCCGGCGTCGCTCGAGGAGCCCGCGGTACCTGCGCCGCCACGGCCCTGCAAGGACAGCGTTGCCAGACTAACGCTGACTGGTCTTTCTTATGTTGTTACTGTGAGTATATCTGTAATTATCCATATTGACCAATGAAATGAAATGTATAACGTGTACAAGCACACGTTCACCTTTTGAATGAACTGCTAATTCTATTCTTTGACAAAATTTATTTTCAAAAGATGGAATGTTGTCATAACGGCAAACTTCTGGGTAGACGATTTAGATGTAAGGTATTGAGTCATAGAGTAACTACACAGTACAAGGAAAGGGTATAATAACAGATCTTGATGTCTTTTTAAGAGACATGGTTCGCAAGTGAGTTCTAAGTAGTGAAATTAGTCACTCCCTAGGTTAATTTACTATTGAGGTCAATTATAATATAGCAACACCATTATTAATGGCCATTAAGCATACGCATCTAGGGAATTAAATGCTCACACATAGCAGCTACGTTCTGAATAAGCCCTACTAAGCTTAGATTTACTAAGCACTAGAGATGTGGCCCGATCGTAAAATCGTTATCTGTGGCGGGGCGTATCGCCGTGACATACATTTTTCAGGTCTTAAAATATACATTGAAACATTTTGCAAATGTACCTGTGTATTCATTTTGACGTTTTAGATATTTTAACTTGAAAGTTAGCAGGTAATTTGCAATGAAGTTTGACAGTTCAACAGCACCAGTATTCTTATGCCATGTAGTGAGAGAATGAGTGTGCTTTCAATCAATGTAGTATGAATACGATGTACGTAGATAGGAAAGTAACTCGTTTTAATTGTATGGAACTAAATAATTAATATTGAAGTAAATAATTAACAAAAAACTGATACTATTATATAAATTTTTAGCCCGCCAATTTTACGTCGGTGAAATACACCGGCGGCGGCGTAGCAAAATCGCCGGCAAAAGCGGTGGCGCGACACACATCTCTATTGAGCAGCTACTGATGCTTTCTGGATTAGACGATCAGAATTGAACGACTAATAAATTTTGCGTATTTCTTTTGGTGTTTTTTGTGGTTGTGGTGGAGTCTACATGTCATTGACCGCTAAGATGGTAGAACTTGCTGAATCGAGGGATCATGACATGATGATTTTTATTTATTAATTTGGCGTATTTTCATTTGGAAATTTGTAAACATGAACCTATTCATTATTAATTCCTTAATGTAAAATATATTCGTTATACAATTTGGTTTAGTGGAAAAATTTACTACTGATGGTGTAGGCCAAAATGTCATATAACATCAGTTTTTGAATAATGCTATAGACAAGTAGGTAGAGGTATAGAGAAATGCGCACATTTTGCAGTTTTCTTTTATGATACCAAGTGACTCGGGCGTCTGGTGGTAAAAGACACGTCTGTCCACAACAGTTGCAGTGCCACTCAGAGCTTAAAATCACAAATATATGAGAGCTTGAACTTGACATGTCCTAACGTGCCTCTAATTTCATCAGCACCTGTATGTACCCTTCAAAACTGAAATGGAGTAATGTTCCATTACTGCTTGGCGACAGAAGTAGATAAGATGATATTTTGATTTAAAAAAAGAACAAAACTAAGTAATAGATTTTATACAAGGTTATAAAATGCCGTTGACTGCAAAATTATATGAGCGTCTCGAGCTAAAAGAATACACTTTTCGCAACAAAGTACGACAAAAAAAAAATTGCGGTTCATGTAGTACAATGCACTACTTTCCGTTACTTATTTTTTCGCATAAAACATTCATAGAATTTTAGTTTTTATTTGCAGTCGATGTCCTTTTCATTTTAGATAATCATATTTACAATCAACATCAAAATGATCTGAGTGATAGAATTAACTCTTTAAAGAATTCAAATTTATTTGTTAAAATAAAATTAAAATTTGCTGAAAATATTTGAACATTTTTGCTTACTTTTATCGCTCAGAATCTTATTTTAAGTCTGACCATGTGACAAGAATCAGCCTATGCAGGTTGTTATAGTTTATGTATGCCGCTGCTAGATATTAAGTATTCATACAGGCTAATCTACCCTGACAAAGGCTATAATGGCCACAGGTGGCGTTGTTACCTAACCTAGTTCAGCTCGTTTTAAAGTTAGGTAAACACTAATGTTGTCAGCGAGTCGAGTTTACTATGTAGATTGTGCAACAGTGAGTTTGTTTTTTACTTAATTTTGTTTTTACATACATATAATTATATTGTATTAAGAAAGCTACGTTATCAGTACAATTAGAAATACGTAAGACTGTATTTTATAAAGTAGGGCCCCAAAGAGCAATAAATACAGTAGAAGTCCTTAGTCGACGTGACATGTGTCCCAACAGTATGCGGAGTTACACATACTTGAGCTCAGTCCGCCATTTTCGCTTTGTACGTTATAGTCGTCAATTATCTCATGCAAAACCTCGAAAATCGTGGAAAAGCACCTTATTTTCTTACTTTGGTCACGTTGTCCTTAATTTTTTTCATAAAAGCACTCAATGATTGTTATAGTATAACATTTAAAAGATTCTCAAATATACTCAGTAACCCTAAAAACAATAAATAGTTTGCAAATGTAAGATAAGTCTCTGTTTCGCCGGAAGTGCGATATTCAATTATGCCCGCGTTTGGATACCACTTTCCACTTAACATCAGGTGGAGTGGAGTCATTTGCCTGTCAGGTATAAAAAAAAAAAAAAAAAAAATGCCCAATTCTAATAACGGTATACATAATAAGGTAGTACAGAGATTGAAAGAAGAAAGAATAAAAGAATTGAAGAAGGATTGTAAACTGAAACATGCCTAAACGTTAACGCTAGTGCTCTTACCAGGAATTAACTATGCTTTATCTAGGCTAAAAGCAGTTGCTAATCTCGCCGAATTTTAAGCCCTCTCCGGCATGAATTTAACTGCCTTTACACTTGGGGAAACTCTTCCCCGATACGTACTTTATGAATATATCTAAAAGAAATTAAATGCACCATTTATACTTTTTCTATAGGAAAAACTCCGGCTGCCTAGTTGTTTAAATACTATAACAATATTGTATCACTAATGACGCTAAAAGGCGAAAAAAAACATACATCGTTCGTTGCCTCATTCTAATGCAAATCGACTGTATATTTTTTTTGTATGTATGTTACGTGATAACTCCGGCACATTTGTGAACCGATGATTCTTTGTTTGTTGCAAAAGACCTCAGTAGTGGTCCCATTTTGATTTGAAGAAAATATTCCACCTCTAAGGGTGGCAAACTAGGGGATGAATGACTTTTGAGGTCAGTTTTTTAGTACTCTGTACTGAGATTACTTTAATAATGTTTGAAGTTACAATTAGCTAGCATAAAGCGCAAAAGAAGCCGCTTCCTTACTTGTTTATATATTTGCTTGCGTGCATAGGAGTCGAAGCTTCCATTGTTTACGAAATGAAAATAGATTATAATTGAGTAGATTGATAGTAAATGGTTGAGCTGGGTGGCATTTAGGAAGCTCAGCCACGGCATTCTCGGGTCGTCAATAGAGTCTAAAAATAAAGGCATTGAATTAGTGCGTTCTACTAGTGGCGTCCTACGGAGCCAAAACGTGGACATTAACACCAGACATCAAGTAAAGTAACTTAGCGTGCGATGGAGGGAGTTATGCTTGTGTTTTTTTTTAAGATACTATATGGCGGGACGACCAAATCTGTCCCGTCCCGTAAAACAGTTGCGCTCAGAGCAATCGCAAAATTCTGAGGAGTACTGCCACTATGCCCGTCACCCTGCGACACAAGTTGACATGTTCCATGTGCCTGTAATTTCATCAGCACCTTAACCGAAACCGAAACGCTGTAATCATCACATTACTGTTTGGTGGCAGAAATAGATAAAGGCAGTACCGCCCTAGACGAACTCTTTCTCAAACAACTCTACTGCTGCTGTTGCTACGGTTTCTCGGATGGATCGAATTCCTAATGAAGTCTAATTATTTTTGGGACGGGAACAAGTCGTCCGCTTGATGGTAAGCTACATGCCTACCCATAACAGTTGCAGTGCCACTCAGAGCTTTAAATCCCAAAGATCTCAGGGGCACTGCCACTGCGCCCGTCACCCTCAGACACAAGTTCACAAGTCTCATGTGCCTGTAATTTCACCAGCACCTTTACTCTTCAAAACCGGAACACAGTAATGCTGACATTACTGCTCGGTGACAGAAATAGTTAGTTAACCTTACCTATTTCATCCGTCAAGCAGTAATGTCACTCACATCCAGTGTAGTACTGCCACCTGGCAGTGCTACCCTGGATGAACTCTTTCACAATAAGCTCTACTGCTACTAAAGTCATACGCCAGAGAACTGAAGTGACTGAGATGGTTACCAAAGTCTTATGTGGCATTGGGCCGGACATGTCTGCAGGGGGGCTGATGGCTGATGGAGCAGACTTGTACTAGAGTGGTGACCACATCAAGGCAAACGTATATAGTATACGCCCTGCGGCAAGATGGATGGACGACCTGATAAAGGTGGCCGGTAGCGGCTGGATGCGGGCGGCATAGGACCGGGAAAGTTGGAGTGCACGACATAATAACATTGTTTTGTTAATCTACAAAATATATTCGTTCAAATAAAAATGTTTCGCTTTATTGATTTAATAAAGTGAACATTTTGCGATCGGAAGTAATATGTTTCCTTTTCAATATAGCTTTTGCTTATTTAGTTTCAATTCAATTCATGTTTATATTAGTTTATCCATTTTGCAATATTATGTACAATTCAGTTTCCAGGAAAAAGCTATGAATTTATTAGCTAATATTGAAATTTGAAATTTTAAAATGAATTTATTAGCGATGCGTAAATATTTATGAAATACTTACTGAAGTCGTCACGTCGCCGTCGTCTCATTCAGCTAGATATTCATAAACTTGATCGCTTGAAATATACTGAGTACATAGGTACCTGTACATATATGTATACGTATATTTATGTAGTTCAAATATAAAATCAAACAAAAATGAACCTTTCTGAAATGAGTTAAAAAAACATCCGTGTACAGTCAGTCATATTATTTATGTCACGCACGAGGGTGACTTCAATACGAAAGTGGTTT